TGTTGTTGTTGTTATTACTGTTGTTGTTGTTTTGTTGCATTTTATGATGCTTGGGGCAACATGTTGCTCCTGAAGGACTCGTTCTGACTGTATTTGGATTCACTTTGTCCTTTCCTTGTCGTGGTAAAATCGAACCAGAAGCAAGTAGGGACCTTGCTTCGCTGGTAGTACCCTTGGAACAGCCTAGAATGTTCTAGGACATCAAAAACGCAATTGCCCATCTTAATCGTGGAGCAAATGCCATATTGCCCCGATTAAGCACCCATTACACTATCGAAACAATTTGCACAGAGAAGACTGAATGCGTGGAATAACCCAAAAAGACTTGGTTAAGATTCAATGCTTTCTCGTTCACATTAAAGGCACAGCTCTCAACAAAAATGGCTCTTGTGATATTTGTGATATGTTATATTAGATTAGATGTTATAAAGACCCAGAGATTGTCCCTTGTGTATGCGCGGGCGAGTTTTAACGGCATTGTAGAGGCTGCACCACACTGGAGAGAACCCATGTGCAAAGTCCAGACAACTTGTCATGACCCATAGCGACAGGGAAAGACAATTCTGGACAGTTTTGGCTCGAAGTAGTCAGCTCTTTGAGCAAATGCAAAACCTGACATCTCGTCCAAATACCCCTTCCATTTCATTGCCGTCATGGTATTCTCGGACAAGCTTTACTTTCACTACTTTCAAGGAGCCTCATTTTAGCAAAATCGGCTAATTTTCTCGCTTCCTTCTTAACCGATGCACTATTCCAACCAATACTTCCGGCTTCCGACTTGAAAAGGGCGTCTTAAGATTAACGTGAACTGTGCCTTTGAATAATTTCTCCTGTTCTCTGCAGTGCTTTAAATTTCAGATTATGGCGACATCTATGAGAGACAGTATGTCGTCGGTTCCACAGGGCATGGTAAGAGCCGATGATGCTCTAATGGAGATCATGACTGGTCTTTTAACAGCTTATTGTGCACTTGGAGTTTTTGGTTTCGTTTGCAATCTACTTAACATACCACTATTGGTGATTCTTCTAGCCTCGAGAAAGCTCCGTCGAGAGGCTAAGGTTTGTTTTTTGCTGCTGTTCAGCTGTTTATATTTATTGCATTTTCTCACCCAAATTTCAGCTGATAATCTGCCTTACTATTGGCGATTTAATCAATTGTTTGGCTCTAACGATGATGGGATTCGATACTGTTCCGTTACAGACATCTTTGTCATGTGCCAGCGGACTGTACATTTGGCTCAGGTACGACTGATTCTATACACTCATTCTCATCAATTGTAGAGATATCCTACTTGGGTAATGCCTCATACATTACTATGCTCCAAGTCTACGAGGGTAGCTTAAGGATACCCACAATCAGAGGGCTTCGCTTACCGGAAATGATCATAAATTGGATAGCTTGCCGTTAAAAAAGTGCAGGAAGATTATGTGGTCTTGCAATGTATTTTTGAGCATTTATAAACCGATCAGTCCTGCTCTTAACGACCGCCTCGCCTTCGACTTGCTTTCAGAACCGTAGT